CTGCAAAATACTCATCAGGAGGGGTTTGAGAGTGTGCTTAAAGAGGGGGGACATCTAAAAGTAACTAGAACTTTAATTGAAAACTGATTTGCACAACTCTTTATTCAAAAATAATAAATTAATTAACAGGGAGGAGCATAATTTACTGTATTCCGTTTGGGAGGGTGGAGGGGGGGTTAGTAATTAACTTTTTTTGATTTTTTGGCCCAATTCTCAACCCCCCCTTTCCTGATAAATATTTTTCAGGGACGGATCTAGAATTTTTATAGGGGGGTTGAGAATGTATCAAATAGAAGTTTTCCACTAAAATTCGCGARCTAGTTTGGATTCGCTTGTTCATTTTAGAAGATTCAGTTGTTTAAAAAAAGCATGAGAGAAATTAGTTTTTCACAGAAAAAGGGAGGGAATCCTCCCCCCATACACGTCCCCTAATTCGCCATTACATAATCCACCATGTTTGATACTGAAACGTGCAGATGTCTTACTAACAGCCTCATTTCAAAACCTAGATACCAGTCCTCGCTCCGTCTGTCCTACCATGTTGATTTTGAGTTTGTATTTGTTTTTGAATTTGTATTTGTGTTTTTGAGATTGTATTTGTGTTTTCGAATTTGCGTGTTATGGTTTTGAATTTGTATTTGTGTTTTTGAGTTTGTGTTTGTAAATATATTGTAGTTTATATATATGAAAAATTTCATCAAAAAACTAAAAAAGTGCTCAACAACAATATAAAAGTCAGAGCTGTATTAAATAAAATAGAAATTTACAGAACAAAGTACTGTATTTCCATGATGTAATTTTCACTACAATATTGTTTCGTATGGTCCAGAGGACCACACTCATCAGGTGAAACCAATTACATAATTAGTAATTGGTTTCACCTGATGAGTGTGGTCCTCTGGACCATACGAAACAATATTGTAGTGAAAATTACATCATGGAAATACAGTAGTTTGTTCTGTAATTTTCTATTTTATATTGTAGTTTATGTATTTGTTTTTGTATTGCACCTCTGGACCACCGTAGTCCACCCTATTTATCTTAAAACTTATTTTAACAAGCATTTCTCCAAGAATCCTAACAAGTTTGAGTTTCCAATTAGTGTTTGAAGCTGTGARCACTACTGCTCATTTTTTAAACAATACATAGCATCTTTAAAGATCTTCAGTCTACAAATTTCTTGTTCAATTGTCCCCTGTGCATCCCGTAGTTTCTTACTGAATTGATACTGAAAACAACAGATTTCAAGATAGTTGTATGTATATAGATATGTAGATAGTGGTATATAGTTAATGGAGTTAATGGCATATTATAGTAATGAGGGCAATTAGAATAAACATTCACGACTACCTACAGCAATGTTTTGACCTGGCAGGTTTTTGAGTTCCACAAGTCCTGCATGAAGACTGTATGTAATACACACCATCATACTCATATCTCTCTAAGTAGTTACCAACATTGACAGACGTAATCACCCCAGGGTCTTTTCTATTACATATAGTAAATAAGACCACATCAAAAGAAATCAAAACATAGGTGCTCAGGAAGAATATATTGGTGTTTCCAAAGAAGGACGAAACTCTTAAAGTGTACACTGCACTGCCAGCCACAATGAGGAAAACATACAAAATCAGCATGCATCGATTCCTGAAAAATATACATTAATCATGATTTTATTGAATAAAAGTAAAATAAAATGTAAAGAGTTTCTCACAGTAGGGATCACAGGAGGGATCAGAGTGACTTTGAAGTTATAACAACTTCATAAATTTCTTCAATCTTGGGGACGGTTGAGCTACGGTGTAATATTCTATTGAAATTATTTTAATTGTCACAATATTGTAGAAAAAGCCTTATTTCAATGCAGTTTGCTTACAGGACAGTTGGAATGCAGTCAAATTTGAGTCAAAGAYGATGAACCGTACAACTCTTGCCACTCTGTTGTGTTTATATCAGTGGACTTTGTTACACCTTTTTTCAGTCACTTCTATAACATAAAGGTTATTATCTGTTTTTTTATTTTTTCGTTTCTCTGAAGTAGGTTCAGCAGATATTTCTTCAATATAATGCACTGGAATTTTAGATTCTCGCTTTACCCATCAAAAACAAGAAAACAATACCTCATGTGCTGGATATTATAGTTAGTTAAGGAATAAAAAACAGTTTTCTGTGTATTATACTCTGATAAAAACACGCGGGATGTGGGGAGAACACGAGAGAAACCATGACGCGAAAACTGTTTTTTATTGCTTTTATAAAATAACAAGCGCTCAAATGATTCATGAGAAAACAAAAGCCGAGAAAAAAAATGACGCGAGCGTGTATTATGCTCTCATCTCATCAAACACAGCTTTTTGGCCAATCAGAGCGCACGTAATATGAAAGTTATTTTATAAATGTGCATGCATGACACAAATGACGTATACATTTWTTGACGGTGAAAACAAAGAAAATCCATTGTTTTAGCAGGGAAAGCAATGCATTGTGGGTGGATAACATCAAGATCAGCTCTGACCTTTCCGTATGTTTGTATATCTCRATAATTTCTGAATTAGGATTACTGCCCTGCTTTGCGAAGTTCAGGCGTGCTACGCTGCGGCAGCAACAACTGTCAGTTAAAATCATAAGTTGATTTATACCTTGTGAAGAAAATATAGTTAATAACAGCATCAATGGTCCTGAGTAGTAGCCTGGGGAGAATTCTCTCACAAACTGATATAAAAACATCGTTTATCTAGAATCGAAATAAAACAGTTATCAATTACGCAATATATATATAAAGATCCTTTAAAAAGTCCTTTAAAAAGTTCTCTAACTGCTTCCATGTGGTAAGATTAATGCCACTATGCCATAACTCAGTGATGTGTTATAGCAATTCTATACAAACCTTGATTAAAACGCGTCTAAACCAAGAAATAATCCCTCCTTCGTGGAATGAGCTCCCCCCAACAAGAACCACATAGCTAATTAATATAAAGATCACAGTATAGCCAATTGCGAGGGGCAGAAAATCCACCATCTTCAACTATTCAATACTTGTTCAATACTTCTTTTGTCTGCCATTTTGAAAATTTCGCATTAACGAGCAGAGTAGCCCTGGGAACGAAAAATTTCAAAATTCTTCAAGTGCGGGTTTCCTGTGTTAAGGCAATTTGGGTTTCCTATTTTTTTCCTATTTTTTTTTTCTTTCTCTTATTTAGAATGATATCTTTGGAAAACGATGACGAGGGCGGGGACAGATCACAGGGATCCCAAGCAATGACTTTGAAACCTATAATAGTTAAAAATAAAATTTTACCTAAAAAATAGTCTACTTTTATTTTATTCAGTGGGTTTTAAAAAATTCCCCTATATATATAGGGAGGGGAAATTTTTTTAAAACACATTTATAATACATTGTGACACTGAATAAAATAAAAGTAGACTATTTTTTTAGGAAAATTTTTATTTTTAACTACAGATAAGACTTTTAGCCCTTTGCCGGACTCTCTCGAGCTTCGCGCTCACTTATTATAATTTTTTTCAAATTTTTGCTCGTTTCTCTAAATTTCTTTATTTTTTTTCTAGTCCAAAGACAGTTCAACCTTTGTTAAGTCTAGGATTTGGGGTTTGAATCGTCCAGAGCCGGTCGGGAAAATCGGAAGTCGCTTGCGATCTATCTTTTCAATCATAGTGTGCTTGTCAGTTTAGTGGACATGTGATAAAATGGTTGTTGATTGATCGGTCCATACGGGGAAATATTTGTCTTTTGGTCATTTGTGCGCTCGGTYCACATGCAATTGAGCCGAATATTTTCCCGTACTGCCCGACCAAGTCAATAATTACATAGCACAGCATGGCCACATCTCCGTTTAAGTCAGAATTCTTTTCTTTACCAATATTTCAAAACAAAGTCGTACAGCTGTATAAAAGCCGGAAATCAAATGTCATAATTCTCCTACTGGTTTATGTTGGTTGTTATGAAATGGAAACGTTTCGAAATTTTCACATTGCGTCATTTAATTCTAATACTACCAACCACAAAAAAGAAAAACTAGGTAAAGCATTCTGATCTCGGATATGACATCATAGTGAAATTTTTCCTATAATTATGGACCGTAAAAATGAGCTGAAACGAAAGAAACAATCGAAACAAGTCGTCACGAGTGAATGTGCGCTAATCCCATAATATAACCGGRCTGAAAATAATGAATTATTAAGTCAATTGATGTATCTATCTACTTAAAATAGGAGTGACTTGTCATAAATTATACGGGAGAAATAATGAACATGTGCTTATAACAACCTAAAAAAAACTTCGTCCAAATATGCGATAGCGCCACTGCTCGCTGAAATGTTTTTAGACTCCGGTTATTATGAYTGGGAGAGACCGATGAGGGGTATATTGTTTGGAATTCTTGAAAGTTTCATCAAAGTCTAATGCAGCTGACTTGATCTCAGCTCAGCTCAGTCTCTACTAAAAGAGTAATCTGTGGTACAAATGAAGATTCCACGTTGGCTACACACGACATGCATGAATATTTATGAGTTTGAGGAGAGAATCTCGAGTCGTTACACTTTCGCTATTTCGATCGACAAGAAGCTGATGCTTGTCTGTAAATACACTAAACCCATCTATCAGAAGTACGGTTCAGAGTAATATCTTATTTTGAACTATAATGAAATAATTAAATTTCTAAAATATTTAGGATACTACGCGCGCTGTGATTGGTCGAAAACCATGTTTGATTACAGTTTCTAAAATATTTAGGATACTACGCGCGCTGTGATTGGTCGAAAACCATGTTTGATTACAGTATCAAAACACGCTCGCGCGCGTCAAAAATTTCTTAATTTTAGAAAAGAAATAAAAGACGGAATTCCGTGTTTGATACTCTGATCAAAACACTTGGGATGTAGGGAGAGCACTCGAAAAGCCTACGCTTCTCTCGTGCTCTCCCTACATCCCGCGTGTTTTGATCAGAGTATCAAACACGGAATTTCGTCTTTTATTCCTTAAATATAACATCATAACTCTGTTTTCATTAACCCTCGATAAACGATTAAGAACAGCAATCTATAGATTAACTTTTGTTTGAGGCATGCAAAGACTTATGCGTATTTATAGACCTCTAGCTATTAATTCACAACATTGAATTACTTTTATAAACTTTATTGAAAAAATCCTTTCATACTTTATCTTAAAAATTGACTTTAGGGTTTGTTGCACGACGTACAATACTCTAAACTTAGCAAATATACACTGATTTATGTGATATGTACAACTATTTCCCTTCAAATATATCAACGTATATGGTATATGTATAAATAGCTTTTTCGTTGTTGTTTTTTAAAAAACATAACTTTAGAAATAATGTCATTATCATGACTTCGTGTTTGTATTTTGTCTTTTTTGCGTTTTTACGAAGAGTTTTGTCTAACGGGATAGAAATAAAACCCGTACAGGTGTATGGACCGAAAACACCAAGAAAACGTTGATGTTATGAATACTGACGAACAGACTCAATAAGGCGAACATCTTGTGCTTCGTTTGCTTCTTAATAAGAAAGACATACTGTAGGTAGGCCGACTTCTCGTCCCATCAAGAAACACGATGTACACAACTAAACGGAATCGATTCCTTCGTTCTGAGTCAACTGTTGACAATTTGTAGACAGGACAACCAGTGTCAGGACTTTCGTACACTGAGTCCAAATCAACTGAGAAATATTGGTGACTCTGATAATCCTAAAAAGGCAATGGTATATTGATTATTAATATTACCATACTAGTGRACTATTGCAAATTCTACATTCTGATTGGCTACACTACTTGGGGTCTATTTTCAATTTTTGATTTTCTTTTAGAAATATTGTGGKTCAAAACAATTGTCAAACATGCCAAGCGTGTAGTGCGCGTCAAACAAAGTCAGCAATAATTCAGTTATGCAAATTTAATTGATCCCCCGTAAGCGTGAAGTTTTAGCAATACATGTAAAACAATTTTGTTATTTATATACACCTACTTGCAGAAACGTTGTCATAGAAAATAGAACATTTGAATTTAGTAAAAAGGAATTAATTAAAACAAGACAAAAGAAATCGTTCAGCCTCAGTGATCTTCTTTTGTCTTTTTAATTTATTTCTTTTTACTAAAATACAAATGTCCTATTTTTTATGACAACGTTTTCGCAAGTAGGTGTATGTCATAAAAAAAAGAAAAAAATAGATTCAATTCAATCGATATCCAGATGATGTYATAATGCGAGAGAACAAAAAAGTACTCCACGAGACGAAGTCATTTTGACGTCTTCTTTGCATCTATTAGAGTACTACTATTTGTTTATGTATAATACTTTATTGAAATAGAAGACGAAATGACGTCATCCATGCACACATGGTTCTAARCCATTCCAAGAGCGCGTAATATACCAGATATAATATAAAAAAGTATAATGCAGTTCTTTTCGAARKCTAAATCTTACTTACATCTGTTAGCATGAGATTGTCCATTCTGGGTTTGAGTGGCACCTGTCCATTATGGTCTCCACAAAGCTTTGCTGCCTCAGGGAGTCTCTCAGCGTACACCTCGATATGTTGTATTTGTGCGCAGTATGTCACCATCATATCAATCACMGCTCCCGTTACTCGTTGCTTAGAGTGCTTGTTCTTTCGACATTGTACTTTTTCGTAAACGTTTCTTAGGTTGAGAAAGTATACTCTTTCCTCTCCTTGKCCATATGTCGCGTCACGGTACTGGGCCAACGGGTTGCGTGGCACTGGTTGCCATGGTGAGTTGCTATAACAGCACGAGGAGTATATTTCTTGCTCACGTTTTGCAACTTGATAAGGCTTCAATTCTTCATCGCATTCTGAATATAGAAAGATAATAACGTATGAGAGACACTGATGCAATATTCTGAAAAAAGAAAGATAATCAGGACTGTCTAACATGAAATGTTTGTTACTATCAAAAAATGATAAGTGGGATAAAACAACAATGAGTACAGGTAGAAACAGTCAATCACATTAACAACAATGAGTACAGGTAGAAACAGTCAATCACATTAAGACAACAACAAAATGATTTGTTTATATCATATTTGTATTTTTTGCAAGATTTTCAAAACTTTATGACAATGTCAATAACATTTAATTTTTAAGCAAAGCCTTCGCGGGAATCGAAAAATCATTTTTATGCAAATGCCTTTGTTTGCTGTTTTTGTGTCAAGTGAACAACGTAATAAACAACGCGCAAAAAGCAGATTTACGAATAAGACTAATGCCATCTATTAACCCGTGAAACACACTTTAGCGTATTTATCGCTATTACACTTTGGCTCTTTTGTTYTTTATTGTCTCTACGCGACTATTACGATCGATTACACTCTAATTATTACACTTTGTTTCACGGGTTTATGAAAATCACTCTAAAATATATCATACCAAAAGTTAGTACATAGTTTTACAATCCCATACGAAGCTTGAATAATTTAAAAATGCAGGATCTTCACAATGACTAAAAATTGAGTATATATTAGAAACCGACTATTTAGAAAAGTTTCGTAATTCAACAAACTTATCATTTTGACATGAACTAGTTTTGTATACTAGTTTTCAACCAAAGCTCGATATCAGAGTATTTCTTTTTTATCACACCACGTRATGAAGGGATTGTTGGATATCACAAACAAAGTTATGTATTCCCTGCTGTTTTTTTGCGTTGAAAATGCTCAATATTAAAACAGGACGATTGTCTTTCCTACATATTCTCTAGCGCAAAGTGTAAAATCATCTATTGCCGGATGGTAACCTATCAATAAGGTGTTTAATAGAGCAAGCCTAGTGCTATATCAGTGACCTTCACTATTAATATGTCTAAGAATATAGGTACCAGACTAACTATAGTAGAAGATGTTATAGTACAAGCCCAGTTCTATAGATATGCTCGGTGACCTTCCCTATGTAAGCGTCTGGCAAGCCCAGTTGTAATGTTCTAGTAGTGGCTATCAATTAAGATGTTATAGGACAAGCCTAGTTCCATGCAGACTCGCCCTATTAAGGTGGTCGTACTATTTAACAAAGGGAGGGGATCTAGGCGCGTCTCAAGTATTTGTAAATGGCAAAATCTTGAACTATTTGAGAAAGGTTAAGTTATTTCTTATTGATTTCCTACTAGTCTGTGGATAAGCTGGCGTTAGCTCGCGGCGAGGGTCCGGCTTTGGAAATTTTAAATCTATTCTTATCTGTCCTTCAAAACTAATATTGACTTTTTATAGAGCAGTAGACAAATCGGCTCAGACGGTATATCTCTATCTTAGTCGTTAAGAGTATTAATTGTCACCAGTAGAACTACACAAATTAACTATTKGATTGTTTTATATTAATGTTTCAATCATTTCTTTATAAATTAAAACTTCCTCGATTGACTTCCAACAAGTTATCTTCTCGTCATGAAATATTGACTTTTCGATGTTACACCCTTAACAATCGTTATTAAYCAATGTTAAACTGTGATTGGACCAAAAGAGAAAAAGAAAGCATTGCATGTCACAATACAATAATGAAATCAGACAAACCGAAGTGTCAATTACCGGAACCAATTTATTCAAAACATAAGGGCTTTCCTGTTGATTTCACCAACATTGAGAATCTGCTCACGCCCAATAATGAACTCATTTCCGCCCAACCTACCGGAGGACCAAAGCGGACCAAAAGGGTCAACTCTGATATTTTGTTTCGATTATTCCTTATCATATTCGATTTTCTTCACAATTTGCTACAGTTTTGTGGGGTGTTTGTTCATGAAGAGTTGTTCTAGATGGATCCTTCTAAAATGAATGCTTTTTGAATTAACGAGTAAAATCACTCTTAACCCCATGACTCAGAATTGTAACGATATTCGTCTTTGATAAAAAAATACCGGATAGATTTGTTTCGGACCAATTGTGACACCGATTAATTAATTGCTAGTGTGCAACACTACAGATGAAACAAAGAAAAACAATCAAAAGAGATACTTGCGGGCTGATACGACTGGATGGTTATGCCATTGGTTCTCGTAAAGCCAGGACCGCGATAGCTGATCATAATAGTCGTTGATCATARTCGATGACAGTTGAGAATTGTTAATGATAGTCGATGGATTTCGATGTTGATGATTGTTGATAATAGTCGATGGATGTCGATAATAGTTGTTAAGAAACGTCCATAGTCAATGATAGTAGTGGATTGTCAATAATAGTTGATATCACCTACCATGTAGTGCACATTAACTAAATAATCTTAAACTCTCATGCAATTTTAAACTGCTTATGTTTTTCTTGTTTGACAGTCAATGATGCAACGGTGCACATGATAGCTAATGATAATGCATGATTTAGAGGCAGCTACTCTCATCAATCGGCGGATGGACACAATACCAACATTGCCAATATAATTCAACTTTGCTTTAATTTCTGGTTCCTTTTTGTGGGATAAAGTCCTTCTCCGTCCCCTTAACTTGCAAAGCATTTTCAAACAAATCCACTTGGCCGGAGAATTGTCTTTCGGTTCATAATATCGTGATATCTTCTTAAAGGAATGATTAATAAACAGAGGTGTTTAATGTAAATATCCTTTAAATAGATCTTTGTCTAAATACAGACAAATCGGTGAGACAATCTGGGTGACTTGTATCAAGTTGAGCATTGCTTATTAGCGGGATTTGACAATTCGTCTGTGAATACTAAAGATAAGATGATTAAAACCAGAAAAAATAAAGGATTGCACCCCAACAAAGATATTAATGATAAAATAGCAACACTTATAAAAACAACAGTTTTTGCGAGCATTTTTTGGAATGTATATCTGCTGGAGTCATTTGTTCAGTTTTGAACGAAAACCAACAATACAGCTTGAAATATAATGACTGCGGRTTGATAGTTCCAAATATTCATTGGTTTGATGGGCAAAACCAACAGAAAAATATATATTTAAAATGCGGTCTTTGAATGCAACAGGCGTGACGAAACCCGACTCGTTTAGTTAGTGGCGGGAAGGGGTTAACTGACAAATCGTGGCACAAGGAAAAAATTGTTAAAAAACTTGCCTCTCGATTTCTTGGATCGAATCATGTTTAATTTTATTCTYGTTAATGTCTTGAAGAATTCCTGTGAACTGAATACACATTCGCGCACATTTAGAAAGTGAAACTTGTTTGTTCATGTGTATATACTCGAAGAGAAAACTGAGCATAGTATTTCTGCTTTATTTGACCTTTAATTCGTAAGAATTATTACTTCCTGGCAGGGCAATTCTAAAGACACATGGAGCTTGATACAAGAAGTCAAAATGAGACCGTCAAATGACGTCAAGGTCGTCCATTGTGAAGGAAAACGAAGTGTGAAGGGAAATGAGTCATAAATGCAGCTTTTGGTTCGTGTATCCTTGATTTGATTATGTTTTACAACTTCCTTCTTTTAAGGTTGCCTTTTGCTACATGCTTTTTAAAGAGATACAATTCGCCTTCCTGTTGGACCCGTGCCTGGGGTTGACAGACCAAAAAGCTTTCATTTATTCATAATGATGGTATGAAGTTGTCTCCCTGTAATCTCGATCTCTGTAAAAAGTTTATTCTATAATAGAAATATCTATCAGACGCTTGAGGTGATAGAATCTTGGCAAACTTTTATACCTACGAGGAGTTCATGGTGTGTGGCAGTGAAGACAATTTGCAGCCATAGCTTAGTCTCGTGATTTTTTCCTAATTTATGGTGTTTTAGTTAAATACAAGTGTGAAGTTTGGAGTAGAAGTCTATTTTACGCGTTTTTTTTTGTAATAAAGACACTTTGAGTATATCACTTTGAGTATATCACTTTGAGTCATAGTTAGTTGAGTATATCAAAGAACCAGTGAAAGGTTAACACAGTTTGTAACTCATAGAATTATGAAACTGATATGAGGATTCGAGTTAACTCGCGATGAAAAGTTTTTAGAAACGTCTTATCATTAGTCTTCCTACAATGAAGTTATTTTTTCTATTTTTACGATCCTATTATTCCAGAAGTATTGTTTTGAATATCCCTTCGAAAAGAAAACAAAATTTATAAGGTTTTTCTGAGAAGGCTGGCAGAGTAAGACATTATCATAAAAACACGAAGCAATTCAAAAATAGGTTAAAAATTAGAAATAATTGGAAGACGTTTGCTTACCACAATTGGACATGATATATCTTTCAGTGCTTGGATCGTTAAAAAAGTCTCTTAGTAACTCTTCCATCCTTCCTTCACCAGGATAACAAACTGGAACTCGATAGGTCTCAATGCTGACGTCTGTCTGTAGAAATTACTCTTTGTAGGTTAGCTGGATATATTATCGCAAAATAATTTCATCTGGGTTTGTGTCATCTTATATCTTGAGTTTGGCAGACTTGATTGACGGACTGGGAGGAGCTTAGATGGCGGAAGTTTCATGTTTGGACCACGTGAAATTGAAAACAATTCACRACAATTTGATTTCCGGTCCTTTTATAGATTGCGTTATACTTTTGTGGCGTCAAAGGAGGTGTTAGTTCTCCAACAACTATTGACCTGAATGCCTAAAAAAGTTGCGAACTTTGATTAAAAAACAAACTAAGAATAATAATTTCGTCATTTTTWATCCACCGATACAAAGTCGACATTTCATTTGGCTAGAATCTTCGGTTGACCTCTTGGAGTTATTATTCAGGGTTTTGTGCCTTGCATCGAATGAAGAAGATTTTCTATTTGATAGGCACAAACAGGTCAYATAACAGTGAGGTTTGGCCGGAAACTGTATTTGAAAAGTCTTGCCATATTTGGGAACACTTGCAATGGTAACAAATTGGACCAAGTACTCACGATATATATATATCAGACGTTTTGTTTTGATGTCCAGTTGAATGGAGACTAAAAGGCTTATGGGTTTAGWAAGCCATAAAACGTTTATACAAATGACATCAAGGTAAACTAACACAGTCAAAYAAAGAAAAATAAAGAGACCGAAAAAGCTACACAGAGTCTTAACCGAATTCTCTCTTTTTGCTCTGTTCTAAGTCATTAATGCTCATGTTCTAAGAAATATAATAGTCAAATAGTGTTTTAAAATATCCTCTCAGGAGATTTTGTTTTCTTTACTTTCATGACTCAGAAAATCTCAATACTGTGATGTAACATAGTAATTCGGCACTTCCGGACCTCTCGTCGAACCAGGACATATTTTCAACGTGTCACCTTGCACGTCAAACAATTGACTTTTTGGATTTTACAATTAATTCAAATTGTAGACATAGAGAATCGAGACAGCTGAGTACGTCGTTAGTTTCGGTTCATTTTGAATTAAGCGAATAAACGGATGCAAAATTCAGGTTATTGCTGATACCACCGTCTMTATGCGTGATGTAAACTACGTRATATTAAAAYCAATAGATCATCAAAATCATTCGACKGAACTCAAACTCTCATTSTTCGAAAGATATTCTTGTTTTGAAGTGTTTTAATGTTTCTGGAGCGTTTGCAATGGTTAAACAGTTTGATCTTTTTTATAACCGTTACCCTTATCGTTGGATCATGATTAAGAATGATGAAGATTCAAGAAAACTGCAATCGAGCAGAAAACAGAAACCTTGAATCACTGTACACGATTCAATGAAAACAATAATGCTGATACCAAAGGAAGCATGTAAATAATATTTAATTTGAAAATAAATACCGCATGTAAAAATAGTTCTGAAGTTTGCGCAAAGTTTAGTTTTCACTTTCACGCGCACCGTGGCAACTGCAAAATGTTAGAGTGCATTTTTCGATAACGTTAGAACTTCCCCTTGTTGACCAAAGAGTTATTGTTACAGTGCTAAATCGCTTCTGCCATTGTTGTGTCTCTTTATAATGGTCAATAAACAAGTGCTGTTTCAGTTCGTTCAACGACCCACGAGGAGCCAAAATTTGTAGAAACAGAAACTTCAAAAATACCACGAGCAAGACTATCCAATCAGTTCTATTGTTTTAAAAATGTTCTTATGTTAATATTATGATATTTTCGCACCATTTTCAATAGTCTTGATTTTTGGCTATAAACGTCTTGGCAAGTGTCTGAATTAATACTAATCATTAGCAACTGACATGCAACCTTCCATAGGATACTAAATCTGGCGATTTTCAGCGCAAATATTCGATTAGTCGTAATGCATCCAAGCTGACGGTGACTAATTTTCTGGCATGAAGCGAAAAGTCATGAAAAGTTTTCAGTTTTACTAAGAACTGTACTGAGTCGAATGGTCTAGTGTCTTTAGCCGTGTAAAAACTCTTTGGCAAACACAATGAGACAAGATCGAAATGCAACAAGTTAGGTTCCTCAAGTGTTTGGATAATTTATCTTAAATTTGCCAAGCAATTGCCGTTGATATTTGAATGAACCTCTTTTGTTCGCTGACACGCTCAAACAGTTCGCTCAAGCCACTAGTTGTTTTTGTACCACATTGTTGAAGATTGAACATCAATTACTTTTGAATATCGTAGAATAATTGTTTTACTTTTTCTGTTTAGAAAGACAGAAGCGTAACGTGACGCTTACTGGGGAGGTGGGGGAGGAGTTCAACCTCAATAATTTCGTTTTCGCTGTTGCCGATTTGAAACTCACAATATCACATTTGCATCCAGACTGCTGAAACTATTAAGGCGATCTAATGTGCTTTCAGGATAGTTCAAACTACGACCTTTTTGATAGAGGTTCACATTTATTTATTTCAATCTGCAAATCTGCTGTTTAACAAACCCCGCGCATTCTACGGAACAAACCTTGCGTCGAGTACCTCAAACTAAACTAAGCACCGCAAACTCACCCCCGTACTACATGTACATATGGAAATCATGCGGTACTGCAAACGTTTGTACCCCCAACATAGATTTCTTTGTTAAATTTTATGAGTTGTCGGAACTCTGCACCTCAAAGATTATATTTTCTAATTGAAGGATGTTTTTGGAGGTGACATTTTTTGCAAATTGATCATTTTCGATAGAAGTGCAGAATAAACCTTGGAGGCATTATAACAGAAAACTGCTTTAGCGGTCGAGGTACCTCAGCGTTATGAAGCTCAGACCAGGTCCTGCAGTTTGATAACGTTTACTGGCTTCAACGTGCGCGAGCTGYGGTTGAGCTGAAGGTGCTCGGTGAAAGTAAAGCCATCCGTCAAGATCGCTGTTATTATATCTAGGTTTGATATACCATCCGTGTATCTAAATGCATATTGTCCAATAATTCAATTGTTATTCTTGTCAATTTAATAGCAATTGAAAATTGTTTTATTTTGAATCTGAAATCAACCACGTTCAGATACCGCAAGGTCCTGTTACACTGTGCAATTTTCTTAGCAATTTGCCTCACAACGTTGTTGAGACACATGTTACTAGAATAATATGTACTTATTGACTGAGTGGGAGCGACCTAACTCAGTCAATAAGCATTTTATCATATGACAGCGTTTTGTAATGTAAAAAAATAAATAAAAGCGCGCGGAACTTCAAGCCGGGAAAATACGGRTTTGTACGGACCTATCGCGAAAAGGCGTACGGACCCCATCACGTGACCATTTTCCAAAGGTTTCARTGAGAGCGCGCGTAGGGCCGAAATACGGGTCATATGATAATACAGCGTATCACCCTCCAGCTACTTCTCGTAATTTTCGAGTCACGCGTTCTGTTAGATAATGCGCGATGCTTCTCCCAGCTTATCTCACCCAAAAAAGTTTGCAAGACGCTATGGAAATTTAACAGTGCAACATGGTTATAGTTTTCTGCGCAGCTTGTGTCTCAAGACAAGTCGCTGACAAAATTGCACTCTAACACCATCTTCATTCTCACTAAACTTCGCGAATTCTAAACACCACTGAGCAAATATTCATACCATAGAATACCGTACCATAGAATACCGTACCATAGAATACCGTACTTTTGCTATTGCTTACGTCGATCATATTTGTCGAGGTTAAAAAGGCGGCATATTAACGATTACAAAAAAACCATTGTATTTTAAATTATCTCAAATCTGATTCGTTAACAGGATACACGTAATTTTCACAATTAGACAGCCTCGATTACTGTSAAGGTAAATTTAATCTGCGCACGCTCTGCATAGCTGGCCGCTAAAAAAAATACGCTCTTTGCTACTTTGCAACAATCGCTGGGCTGTTTACCCGTACGATTTTAGTTGCGCCATAGTAAAGAGGCGATYATCGCGCTGCAAAAATCGCAAGCGTCAACGTGCATTAACATAGACCTCTGAAGCKTTTACGTCATGCCCCGTAYACCCAATGCATTGTAGGATATTTCTGGGGAAAAACATGGCGGAGTTTTGTTTTCTTCAGCTTATCTCACAATGCATGGAAAATCAAGTATTGACGTAAAAGGTTCAGAAGTCTATTGAGCTTTTACATGACTTATTTTGCTAGAGTCTTCTTTTCAAAATTGCAAACAATTTATAACTATCTATAATATAACAATTATTGAATTACACTTGCCTTGATTTGATAACTTGGGATATCACGAGAAACCTCATCCAATARTTTTAACTGATAGAGTGATCGCACTTAAACCGTGCAACTGTACAAAATCTAAGTAGTACTATAATTTGTACTAAAAGTGGACCTGAACCAAGACGGCTTTGAATGCTCCATTTGTTTCCATTCAATTTTATTTGCGTACCGCATGCACGATTTATAAATACAACTAAAAAGAAYTATTTACTTTGTACAGTTGCACGGATTAAGAGCGATCACTCTACCGCATGCACGATTTACTAAATACAATTAAATAGCACTATTTAGTTTGTACAGTTGATCACTCTATACACACTTTAAKAAGTCCCGAGGTATTGTGTTCTACGCATTTGACGTCAAATTTATTCTTTTAGAATTCCTTTTGTATTGTAAAAATTTCAAAAGAAACATTTGACATTTGACTTAAGAGTGCGGAGAAGACAATACCTGGGGACTTATTAAAAGGGTGTATAATTTCGTCAAACGTAAAAGCAGTCTTGAAAGTCTACATTTCACCACAGTCAAAGAAAAAGGACATATCAAAGAAGAACTTTCGAATATTTATACGCACATTAAAAAACCTTATCATCTTCGATTATCCCTCATTATTGATTATCCCTCATTATTGATTATCCCTCATCTTCGATGCAGTTTTCAACTATCTTTCGTAGGTTTGGATTTTCCATGGCGGCCGCTACTCTTTCTTTGTCGTTGATTTGTTTATTAACTAAAAAAGAATTATTACATAGTTATTTATAGTAGAATGAATAACTCGTTTGTACTGTTCTGGGCACACTGTTATGAGTTGCACACTGTTATGAGTTGCACACTGTTATGAGTTGCACACTGTTGTGAGTTGCACACTGTTATGAGTTGCACACTGTTATGAGTTGCACACTGTTATGAGTTGCACACTGTTATGAGTTGCACACTGTTATGAGTTGCACACTGTTATGAGTTGCACACGTGGTTGAGGTTCCACAATGTAAAATATTTATTCTTTTCCAAATGTATATAGTATTCACTTATTCACTTTACGAAATTGATTTTACTCTGATGCATCAAGCATCGACAAAAAACGCAATTAAAACTTTGAACTTGAGACAAACTAATTTTCACGATTGTCGCATATACTATTTCACACACATGCGAAATCCGTGGATGGGATTGTGAAAACAAATTTCTTTTATGCATGTATTTWATCGCTTAGCGTTTGGTTTTCAAACCCATCGTCAGGGAAAACTGGAAGAAATACATTCAAATTGCGATAAGCAAGCAGGTTTCCGAGCGGTTGCTTGCAATTTTTGCCATTCTACAACTTTTTTTTGGTTTATTCATATATTTATTTACTTTTATTTAGGGGTGGGGGGTAGCCCTGACCCCACCCTAAATAATACAATATTTTTCTGACATTTTTCTTATTTGTTGCTTAGAACACGTACATCTCTACTATCCCGCTTGTCACAATAACATTTTACTTGAATATTTTTTGTCAAATTTCCATAGATTTACTACATAAACATATTTTGCCCAACCCCCCAAATATGCTCCATGTTCCCTGTGAATATAAGCTGCTTACTTTCTTGTTCAGTTGAGTGGCTTCCCTTGGCTAAGTATATATCCAGCTTTGATAAATATAAAAAGTTCATTATCAGTAATGGAACTTACATCAACTTCAGCTACAAACAATACCAACACAGGAAGCCCAATACATACAAATTCAAAATTAATTGGTTTAATTGGTGAACTCAGACGGACGTACCATGATGATAATTGACTCAAACAATCTAAAAATTGGATATCAGGAACATTTATCCATCAAACATAATTTCTATTGTTCAGTCCTAAGATTAATATGATTTTGATTTGCAAAACATGCTAATTTCCTATAAAGTACATATATGACATCATGYGATAGATGAACTTTTAATGGTTAATGTTTGGTTTCATAATGATATGTTTCTGACATTCCAGATTATGATGAAGGAGGTATAAGTTTTCATATTTAGAAACAGATTGAAGCAAACAGGCTCCATGGTCAATAATATAACCTAATATGGACAAGAATTATGATAAGCATTGGAGGAAGGAAATTTATATGCTAATAATTGATTAGTTGATTCAATATTTACATGAGTTAAAACTCATTTATATCAAAAAACAACTGAGCAGATCCCTAGCTTTTGCAAGGAATCATAAAAGCATGGTGTGAAGTGAGCAGAACCAAGGTGGCGGCAATTAGGAGAATTCTAAGACATTTCTTATCTCATTAAAAAAGCTCACAGTATAAATTGTAATTTCATACCTCTAATAGTAATGTCTTATTATAAACAAAAAATATATTTAATGTCATGGAGATATTTTAGATGTAATTGCATGTAGTTGTAATATGTCCCATTTTAGTGTAGTTAAAAGACAAAAAAACATTCTTGTACTGCCTGAGAGTAATTTTGTYAAAATAAAAAAAATAATAATGAATTCGTTGGTATAATAACTTTGAAATTCAATACCTTGAACTTATCTGGCAATGTCCTTTCAAGCTTAACTCTTAGACATAATCCTGAAAGCAAATTATGATCATATGCATAACTACATTTTGCTTTTTGCAATTCAATATAAACTTCAAAAACTTGAACACAAATGTTTATTCATATTTAAAAAACTCATACATAATAAAATGAGCTACTAGGCCAATAGAATGAGCCTATTTGGTCACATGCATGGACCTTTATATCTGATAAAACACTCCTTATTAGTATTCTTTATATAAAGAATACTAATAAGTGTGACCTTTATCAGATATATAGGTCCATGACCCTAGCAAAGGKCTCAGGTTTTGAAACCTGATCATTGACCAATGCAGGATGTCAACCGATTTCAGTGAACAGCCAAGAGCGGTTCTATTTTACTTTATGCRTATTCAATGTGGGATGACAAGAGTGCTTTATAAAKTGATTCGCGCATGATCAGTTTGCCYCATTTATCTCTGAACATATTTGTACGGCAATTTCTCCAAGAATTTTAACGGATTTGAGTTTCAAATTAGTGTTGAAGTTTTTTAAGCCGTTTAAAATACTCGAGATCGTGTTTTAAACTATACATCAAGGGACAGCACAGCAATTTGTATAGTAAGTGGGTGACTGATGTCTAACTGTATCACAGTAGACTAATAGACTTTAGTAATTTAGTAGTTAATAGACTTTATCAAGCTATGGTATAAAGCCCTGATCTGTGCACCCAATAGACTTTATCAATGGCATTAAGACCTGTGCCCCCAGAGGTTTTGCAACTCTATAGAGTTTTTAAGTTATTATATCGGGACCGCTGCAGCAAGGGAAATTGCACAACTTCTTAATCAATGGCTAGAATGTTTCAATAATATTTAAGTTAAGATCAAAAATGCTCTCTTCTTRTTTTTGACTAATTTCTTGTCACAAAAATGCTTCTATTTAACATTCATGCATATTTCAGKTGCTGAATTTACTGAAAAAACGTCTGGTTTTCCATTTGCTTAAAAACATTTAGTGCAAAGAAACACCATAATATTACTTATCAAACTTATCAGGGAATATATTGACTCACCAATAAGAGTTGCAAGAGAGCAATGTTGAACAGTCGGTGTGAATGTGATAGTGATAAGTTTGTGTTCCTCCATGCTTTTTACTTTTACACATTCTTCCTGTACAACATCAAGTTCTTCCAAAGTCTGAGGTTTTTCTGGATCCTTTCAAAAAAAATTGCTTAAAATAAAATTACTGTGATCTGAAAATATCTATTTTTGAAATCACTTGTTATAACTAACACATGGATAATGGATAAAGATTACCAAGGGGGGACAAGTGGGTCTGTTGGTTATAGAGAAGTTTCCAATGATACTAGATGATCTGAGTTAGATTTTGAATCAATGAACCTTAAATACATTTGTAAGACTTCGTGTACATGTACCACTAACCCTAAACCATAACCATTACACCAAGAGTGAATTTGTTTTAATTATGGCACCTCTTTCTACTAAACAATTTCTCATAAACATTGCACTAGATAATGAATATATGATACATGAAGTGCATATGAATAATCTTTGGCGCAAATTCACATCACAATTAATTTGTTTCCTACCCTGGTTCCAGAGGTTTGATATTTTCGCTCTTTACTATTGTCTTTGTCAGCACGAAGCACTGTAATCGAGGCTGTAATCGAGGCTGTAAGGCCGATCTGCCTTACAATAGTGAAGATCGAAAATATCAAACCTACCAGGGTATTCGTTTCCAGCTGCCAGTACATGACTAAGAATGGCCACTATAGCTAGAATTGTCATAATTTTCAAGCAAGGAGTAAGAAATATTTAAACATCATTCTAATATCAAGTTTCAGTAAAGGATAGTAACGATTATAATTTTAACTACAGTATGGTCATAGGCAATGCATGTGTCAGAATATTTTAGTTGATCATGTGGGATATCCCAAAATATTTAGGTGGGCACTGCATTAATATGTCCGTCATGCGAGGACAAATATAGTTAGATTGTGTTACACAAAAAAAGACCCATAGCTTTATAAGTAATTAAGCTCTTAGATRCACACTAAAAAATTATTCACTGAAAATGTCAAATTTTAAACTGCAAAAAAATTGCTTTTATACCTTGATATCCTTTATKAGATCTGAAATTGAACAATATAAAAAGGTTAGGGCATATAATAACATTTCAATATGTTTCGTCGAGTTTACCATAGACATCCAGTGCAAAGTTCTTGTTTCCTTCATAACTTTCCTGGTCCGATTCACTCATCTTCACTATTTTACTCCTACTTGACCGCCATGTTGATATCCGAGCAAGACTGGGTCTGTGTACATTTATGCAGGGTACCCACAAAACAAATTATATCTATTAATACGTCCAGACGTCAAGGAGGAAAAATAAAAAAAGWTCAAAGGAAGAAATAAAAATAGAGAAAGGTAGAAACTACATGAAGGTACGTACAATAACAAAATTGGGTAAGGACCTCGGGTTCGCATTACAGTACTCTGCAGGTAAAGTTTTAAGATGTCGATGGCCTGCTCACTTCCCGGGTCACTATCAACAATAAGATCATTTGATTACTTTCGGACGGCATTGGAAACAGTAGTATTAAAGAATACTAAGTAATTGTTTAAGCTGAGTATGAAGATTATGAAGTCCTTAGTCCTTGCTTATGATTTAATATTCTTCTTTACAGAAATTGAAAAAATTAAATTAAAGTCAAATGGAAAATGATATTGTATATTAGACAGCATTGAGTTGTCATTCGAAAGAATCAATATGATTTTAAATCAAATTCTTTTCGTCGCTACTCTTTATTACACTCCACCCTCCTGTCTTACTGAATAAATATAAATAGTAAATATATGCACCTTTCCTATATAGTTATGAGAGGTTGAACTTCCAGTGGAACCATAAATTCTAGGAAAGCATTGGTTTGGTCTCTCGACATCTAAATATGCTTTAACTTCCACCTGACAGTTTATAAACTATGAATATGAGGACTTGAAAAGCTGGAAACCACTCCGCTACGCGTCGTGGTTTCCTACGCTTCTCTCGTGCTCTCCCTACATCCCGCATGTTTTGATCAGAGTATCAAACACGGAATTTCGTCTTTTATTCCTTAAATAATACACGATTTTGAACTATGATTTCATGCAATATGTGCTTAAATCCAATGACCATTTTTACACTGTTTAACTGGAATCTTGTAACCATTTCCATACAGCATTCTTAGTAAAATATCAGGGTTATTAGGGCACCATGCATCAAAGCCCATAAATGTACATTTCCGCAGTGGAAAATAGTCTTCTTTTTTAAGTATATGATGATGTCCTTCTGTAATGAACTCCAAAGTGTTATTAGTTGTCCAATAACTAAAAACATCTAAAAATACTCCCATATTATAAAGACGCACCAAGGGCTCCTGAATTGAGCACTTATCCACATGGTGTGCAGCTGGCTGCAAACAAACATAAAACATTGTTAGTAATGATAACTTTATGTATAAACATGCTCAGACATGATGATCCTCTAAGCTTGTTGTTTTTACTACAAGAGACATAATTTCCAAATTGATGAAAATATAGCAACAATCCATTTCCAGAACACCGATATTGGCAAGAGAAAAGGAAAAATTTATGAAAAACGTAACATCAAAATAATGAATAAGAACATTGATATCATGCCACTGCATTTGAGGCTAAATCTTAAAAGAATGCATCCTCACACTTCCAAGAATTATCTGTGTCTTTTGGAAGGGTTACTCTAAGGTATTGRAACACAAAAAATCCAATATTCCAATAACTTAGAGTCACCCTGGTTTGACCATATGTTCCTAATTGAGTCTTTAATGTCATTTAAGTAATGGGGTTTATGCCTAGTGTTCATATCAGTGGTAGACCAAAAATGTTACAAAGGGAGATTCAAGACAAATTTTAATGCATGAATTTAGAGCTTCAGAAATGAAATTTCTTTGAGACAGATGCTGTTGTTTTTCAGATTCGATTTCTATATTTTTGAACCCCAAAATGGGAGATGGCTAATTGTAGCATCTGCCCAAGCTTGCATCTAGGCACTCATCGTCTAAAACATCACATTTTATATGTGATTTATAACTGTGTCTCATTGTAAATGACCGTAAATGACACGTGCTACGTATTTATGTAAATTTATCTCGGTTGGAGACGTATTTACTTCTTTGAACGGAGGTTATCCTTGCGTGGTAAGATTTGAACTTTTGAACAAGAAGTTTTCAAGGGGCTTCCTACGCTGTTCTTGAATCAGCTGCTCAATTTCCAAGTTTGTTTACCCACCTTGCCATCACAGTCCCATCGCCTCCTGTCATCAATTGTTACGTTATGTTGTGAATTTGGTATATAGTTAATAAATGTACCACGATCCATTACTCTAGGGTTAGTTCTAGGCCAACCTACTTCTT